TCACACGAACCATTCATTCCGCGAAACTTGCTACGAGCAGGCACATCGCGGTTCGCCCGCACTTAGCAACTTTTCCACGGAAGGCCCGGTCTCCGTATCTAAATCACTTCTCGCTAACGATAATCGCGGCCTTAAAGGGCACAAGCTTAATCGCGCCACGCTAATTCCTCGCTCGAAACTCTCTCTCCAGATTGCAATAGTCGTAACATTCGCATGAGAGCCCGCGTATGAGAACGTGCCGAGGAAACCTAACCTCACTATTCCGAGAGCTCGTTTTTGGTCCCCTTCCTCGCCTTCCTGCCGCCTTTCCCAGCCAGCTTAGTTAGACTAAGGTACGTAGCTTTTAATCGTGAACTTAACGCGAACACGAACGCCATGTTAAGGTCATGTACGATCCGTGGAAACTTAAGCCCTAATGCTTAAGGATCCGGATAGTTACATCCATATCGGACCATTGCAATGAGCTAATTAGCGCGGTCTAATGCAGAGCCGACAAGGCGATTTCGGTCTCCGGTATATTCTCTCCTCCGGTTTAATTCTAACGACCGGCACCTCGCTAATCTCCCAAAATTAATCACCGCTGATGTAAGCCAGAAACGCTCGCGAACCGCGCGTGACGTAATTTCCGTCGGTGAGAGAGCTCCATTCTCTTCCTTTGTATCCACCATTGGGATTTTCAATAGATATGTGTGCTGCCAGTACTCGAGAACACATATTTCGTATGCTCTCTCTCTCTCTCTCTCTCTCGCTCTTCTGTGCCGTCCTGTTATCTTATAAATGGCGGTTCCCGTCACGGCCACGCGGGTTCGCTTTGAGAAGTCCTCGGACTGCGAGATGATATTATAAACGCAGTCTGATAATGACCAATTGCATTTATTACGAAATAAAGATCAAATAAATTTCAGACGAATTTTTATGTGAATTATATATTTAGCAAATAAACGAACGTATATAATTTAATTTCATTTCATTTTTAAATAAGCTTGTATTTTGAAATGTGACAGCTGCGTATTTAAAATTTAAACAATAAATAAGTATTATTAGAACTCTACTCTTGATATGTTATATTATATTCATATACCTATATTATATTTTATATTTAAATATATATATAAAGAACTAAGAAATCATCAGTCGATAATTAAAAATAATTTCGTCAACCATATCTGGCTATAAATACTATTTATTAAACTTTACGACGTTTCGGCCATGGGTTTCGGCCTTTATCAAGTGCTATAAACAATTAATATATAATTAAATTAATAATATTACAGATTAATACAAATTAGGTGCTTAAATATTAATATACCAACCTACTTAATACCGCATTATTGTAATAACACTACTTGTTTGATCTTAGGTCATGACGTGATGTCGTGATAAAGTGTTACGAACTAACTATATTAATATGTCAATACGGAACTATTTATATACTAGATCAGACTAAACGACCTTTATTAATTTTTCGTAGACATTGTTTAGATTGTCAGTATCTTTTTGTAAGTTAATATTATTGTCAAATTTCTTGATGAAAAATTTTATATTTATATGTGATACAAGATGATTCTGAAGAGGTACGAAAAATTGGCGAGAAAATGAAAAGAAGATCTTTCATATAAAACATATATTTATATATCTCTTCTCGGTTATATAATTCTCAATGAAATGACTTCTCCCGAAAAAAGCGACTTGAACTATCGAAAAGAAACAATAAGACCACGGGAAACGATATATATTTGTACGTGACCGCTATGAAATGGAATACGGTCTTCCCTCAGAAGAGTATAATAACGCAATTGCCAGCGGGGATTCGAGATTAAACGGGGAAAGAGTTACGGAAAAGAGAGAATAAGGAGTCGCGGGACGATTCGGCCGATCGTCCGCGACGTGTATACGAAACGGGATGAAGCGAATGGAATTCGAGAAAGCGCGGAATCCAGGATAATTCTCACTTAATCCTAGGGATATAGTCTTCGGCGACGAAGCCGTTCGTTATACTATACATCCCCGCGATATGGCTGGAGGGAAGTATTTTCGTCGCGGTCTCTCGCCATTCGAGGGCGGATAATCTCATCCCCGATATTGCCTTCATCTTTAATGTACTCGCGAAAATCCGGCCACTTTGGGATACATTATATAGTTTTGATACGACACCGGGCATCGGGGCCGAGTCGCGATCGCAGTTTGGCAAACTTGGACCATCTTCGTCTGCTTTTTCAAACTGAACTTTATGGCAAACGGAATTGCGCCCTATATATTATATTTATTATGCTGTCGCCGGCACTGTCTTCGTACACCGTGGCTTCCAGAAAATCGACGGCGTTCCTTTTCCTTTCCTTTTTTGCTTCAATGCTCATCGTAATATTTTTTCTTTTATATATCTTTGATATACGGGAGGAGTGCGAAAATTAGGAGATGATTTTTGTCAGCAATTAAGGGGGTGGCCTTTCATAAAAATTGGGTTTTTATTTTTTTTCTCAAATTTTGGAAAATTATAAAAAAATGAAATTTAGTGAACATTTTCTATTAATAAAAAGGATACTTATTAATATTTTTTGGCTTCTTGTTATAAACTTGCAACCCTTAAGCAATTATTATAATTTTTATAGAGATGAAAATGTTCCTTCTTTGCTTCAAGCTCACCGTAATATTTTTCTTTTATATATCTTTGATATACGGGAAGATTTCAAATAAGTGCGAAAATTAGGAGATGATTTTTGTCAGCAATTAAGGGGGTAGCCTTTCATAAAAATTGGGTTTTTATTTTTTTTCTCAAATTTTGGAAAATTATAAAAAAATGAAATTTAGTGGACATTTTCTATTAATAAACAGGATACTTATTAATATTTTTTGGCTTCTTGTTATAAACTTGCAACCCTTATGCAATTATTATAATTTTTATAGAGATGAAAATGTTCCTTCTTTGCTTCAAGCTCACCGTAATATTTTTCTTTTATATATCTTTGATATACGGGAAGATTTCAAATAAGTGCGAAAATTAGGAGATGATTTTTGTCAGCAATTAAGGGGGTGGCCTTTCATAAAAATTGGGTTTTTATTTTTTTTCTCAAATTTTGGAAAATTATAAAAAAATGAAATTTAGTGGACATTTTCTATTAATAAAAAGGATACTTATTAATATTTTTTGGCTTCTTGTTATAAACTTGCAACCCTTATGCAATTATTATAATTTTTATAGAGATGAAAATGTTCCTTCTTTGCTTCAAAGCTCACCGTAATATTTTTTCTTTTATATATTTTTGATATACGGGAGGATTTTAAATGAGTGCGAAAATTAAGAGATGATTTTTGTCAGCAATTAAGGGGGTGGCCTTTCATATAAATTGGGTTTTTATTTTTTTTCTCAAATTTTGGAAAATTATAAAAAAATGAAATTTAGTGGACATTTTCTATTAATAAAAAGGATACTTATTAATATTTTTTGGCTTCTTGTTATAAACTTGCAACCCTTATGCAATTATTATAATTTTTATAGAGATGAAAATGTTCCTTCTTTGCTTCAAGCTCACCGTAATATTTTTCTTTTATATATTTTTGATATAGTACGGGAGGATTTTAAATGAGTGCGAAAATTAAGAGATGATTTTTGTCAGCAATTAAGGGGGTGGCCTTTCATATAAATTGGGTTTTTATTTTTTTTCTCAAATTTTGGAAAATTATAAAAAAATGTTTAGTGGACATTTTTTATTAATAAAAAGGATACTTATTAATATTTTTTGGCTTCTTATTATAAACTTGCAACCCTTATTCAATTATTATAATTTTTATAGAGATGAAAATGTTCCTTCTTTGCTTCAAAGCTCACCGTAATATTTTTCTTTTATATAACATATCTTTGATATACGGGAGGATTCCAAATAAGTGCAAAAATTAAGAGATGATTTTTGTCAGCAATTAAGGGGGTGGCCTTTCATATAAATTGGGTTTTTATTTTTTTTCTCAAATTTTGGAAAATTATAAAAAAATGAAATTTAGTGGACATTTTCTATTAAGAAAAAGGATACTTATTAATATTTTTTGGCTTCTTGTTATAAACTTGCAACCCTTATTCAATTATTATAATTTTTATAGAGATAAAAATGTTCCTTCTTTGCTTCAAAGCTCACCGTAATATTTTTCTTTTATATATTTTTGATATACGGGAGGATTTTAAATGAGTGCGAAAATTAAGAGATGATTTTTGTCAGCAATTAAGGGAGTGGCCTTTCATATAAATTGGGTTTTTAAATGGGTTTTTATTTTTTTTCTCAAATTTTAGAAAATTATAAAAAAATGTTTAGTGGACATTTTTTATTAATAAAAAAGATACTTATTAATATTTTTTGGCTTCTTGTTATAAACTTGCAACCCTTATTTAATTTTTTATTATAATTTTTTATAGAGATCGAAATGTGATCATCTAAAAATATGCGTTAGAAAGCTTTATTTTTTTAAAAACTTTTTTTATTTCTTAAAATCAGTAGTAAAATTAAAGTACATTATTATTTCAGCACAGTGTTAAATACCATAGGTTTCGAGTTACGAGAAGTTGAATTTTAGTATAAAAACAGCAAGCAGAACAAAATCGTAGTAAATGTTGGAAAAAAATGGAGCAAAAACTTTGAGAAAAAAAAATAAAAATTAATTTTCATCTCTCTCTCTTTGGCAGAGTATAATTTTTTAGGAAAGGCTATAGGAGTACATGTTTTTATATGATAAAGTTTCCCTAATTTCAATCAACAAAAAATAATTTCCTAAATTTTTTCGTACTCTGTATAAAAAACGTAATAAAAAATATAAATAAAAAATTATTTCTTTATATTAAATAATATTTATTCTAGAACAGAAATTCAAATTAATTTTAATTATTCTTTGTCCATACTCTAATCAATATAATAAATTTTTCGGGGAACACAGTTTACAAATCTTGTACACGACATTAAATTATGAAAAAAAAGTCATAGAATACAATTATACAAAATTGTATTTCTGATTCGCAGATACGACACGCAAAAAAAAAAAAATGGCAGAGGCGCAGCATCGTCGTTCGGCTATCGGGGACTAATCCACGGTCATAAAGGAAGTCTGGAGGATAAAACCGTGAGAGAGTGGCAATATTTCGCGAACAAGAATACGTGAACGTAATACAGAAACGGATGGTCTGGGCGCGCAGTGAACGGTAAAATCGAAGCAAAATTAACGGCGCCACGAATGAGCACGGAAGAATATGAGACCGTCGTGCGAGAGCCTGTTCGATCGACGAGAATTAATTTTCCTTCCGGTCATTGGGTCGCAGCGAAATGACCGAGCTCAATCAAGATTAATCGTGTCTTCATGAGGGAGCGCGGATCTTCCATTAATCGCTCGATCAGCGAACAACAAGCGATCCTTCCTTGTTGCGATCCATGAACGCGTGCGAGAGACACGCCGAGGTAAGAAGACAAGCCGCATCGGGCAAACTTCCCATCCGGTCGGTCGAGAGGAAGACGAGAACGAGCAGATAGTACCGACTCTCGCCAAATGTTTCGCTCTCTACACCAATTTTTCCGAAATCCCACTTGAGAAACGCAACGTAGAATTTTTCCCCGGGTATCGACAACCGGGGCAAATCGAGGTAACGAAGAGTAAGTCTCGGATATCATCTAAAATCCGGGGATATAGCGTCATCCGACAATTCCCGTCACTCATCGTCTCTCCCAGATTCTTCATCGTCCTGATAAAAATGCGTGTCGAGGTTCGCGAGATCCCTCGATATAATTTGGTGAAACTCGTAAATGGATAAAACAAATCGTGAAATGGAATTTTTGAATCGACGAGGTATCGAATGAGGTCGATTGAAGAATTGAGGGATCGATAAGACGCGGCAACGGTGATAAATCGCATTCATTCGTGCAACTCTTCAATCTCTATATTAGTAGAAGTGCGCGCAACTGCGGGAGTGATAAAATACACAGTGCGGTGAACCGTAAAGCTGGTCCGGCAAATTCCGAAGAGACGCTGACCCCGACGTGCTCGACGCGAGGGAATTCAATCGCGAAATGGACCGCGCGATATTTGAATACTTCTGTGAATTGTAGCGCCCGGAGCTCGAGTTTAATGAAACGCCCACGAGCCCCGGAGTGAATATCGTAATCGCGGACGGAGTCCATTTCCGGATATATATATATATATATACCAATACCGATGTTCGTTCGCGCGTCTCCCGGAACTCGGACAGATTGCGAGAGAGCTTCGGAGATCTCTCTTTTCTACGAAGAGAAGGAATCGGGCGAGTTCGCGCGTAATATCATTCGTTCCGGGACCGCTTGAGAAGATGGATCACGTGCACGTGAAGTCGAGGTCGGCCTCGAAGAGCAACCCGACGAAGATGGCCTGCGAGAAAGCGTCGAGGCGTCTCAGGACGATCTTCGTGAGGGCGTCTCGCCTAGGAATCTCCGGCGCGGAGGTCGCCAGGTTACCGGCGGCCAAGAAACTCATCCCGCAAAGGGATCACGGTTGGAAACTGGCGGTGTTCCTTCTGCTCATGTTCGGGGGCGGAGTCATCGTCGCCTTAGTCTGCACCGCCAGGAAAGGATGTTCGAAACTGGAGGATATCGTAAGTTCGAATTTTTGTTTCTTCATTTTAGAAACATTATTTTATTACAGATTATCTATAATAAGATTATCGATAATAAATGATTGCCAGTTTTGGTCGACTTTTATCATCGAGGAAAGATTTTTATTATTTTATTATACGCTCGCATGGCAAATTTTGATTTCCCATTTCCTGTGTTCATCAAACTCGTCTAAATTTCAGACCACCTGTAGAGTAAACCACTTATTGTTAGTCCAGTAAAATTAGAGTTTGACTTCACAAAAATTACGATCAAGCTGAATTTTTGTGGAGATCTTTATTTCGATGTTCTAATGAGATCCTAAAAAGTCTCCTTAATTTCATCTAGGGCGTTTTTTACAAATATTCAGCTTGATCGTAATCATTATGAAGTTTTACCCTTTTCAAGTCTTATTTTACTGAACGACCTCGTTTTTAAAGATATGATCTTGTTAGTTTTACACCGAAAAAATTGTATTCTTATTTTTAAATGGCGCCAAGAGGATCCCCTTAATTTAAGACTGAAAATAAGAATAATCAAGAATAATCATCTTAAATTTAGAGAATTCTCTGGCACCGTTTTTCGGTGCACTGTTTTATTTAAAAAGAAATCAAGTAGAGAGAACGTGTAATAATGAAAAGTTTTAACATAGATAATTGTATTTTATATATTCTCTCTAATATAAAAATGTAAAATTTTTATATTATGCAGAGTGTTTCTAAATACTAATTTTACATAGTATTTACGGGGTGTGTCTAAATAAGTGCGAGAAATTTTAGATGATTCTTTGTCGAAAATTAAGGAAGGGGGCTTTCTTATATAAACATATACCTTTATATATTAGATATTTTTTTAATATAATTTGTAACAGCTTTTAAAAATTAACATCAATAAAAGCTAATTAAATTCTTTTATTAATATTTATTTGTGGAAAAAGATTTATAACATAAAATATTAGACAGAAATAAATTTGAACGTTTCGGTTGCCTTTTTCAACCTTCTTCAGCACATCATTTAAAAAACGTTTTTAAAAAAAAATAGCTTGACGTAGTTTTATGCGAATAACTGTGTTTCTGTATAGTTTTGTTATATTGACAGTTATGAATAATTGATTGTTAATTTTTATTAATCTTTAATTTTAAATGATGCGCTGAAGAAGGTTGAAAAAGGCAACCGAAACGTTCGAATTTATTTCTGTCTAATATTTTATGTTATAAATCTTTTTCCACAAACAAATATTAATGAAAGAACTTAATTAGCTTTTATTGCCTTTTATATGTATATTAATATTTTTTTTATTTTAGACAAATTAAAAAAATAAAACTTGGTGGATATTTTCTACTAATAAAAAAAATATTTATTAATATTAAAAAAAAATAAAAACTTAATTTTTACCTCCCTCTTTAGAAAAGTGTAATTCCTCAGGGAAGAATATAAGAATATTCCTTCTCCTTAATTTTTGACAAAGAATCATTTCCTAAAATGTTTCACACTTATTTCGATACATCCTGTATAATATATAATTAGGGTGAAATCGTAAATGTATGTAAACAAGGACTTTTAAGTCATGAACATTTAGAAGTTGAAAGGTTAAACAAGTCGCATTTCCGTAAATTCGCTCCGACGACCGCACATACGTGACTTTCTAAAGAATTTCATGAACCTGAGAGAGAGTGGTGGAAATGTGAAGTATATGTCGTACGTAACATGCGGTTGACTTGAGTAAAAGTCACACGTCGTACACATTTTCCAATGAAAGGGACGAGGGTGAAGTTTTCCGTGCACTCAGAGAAACTATTTCCGTCAAAAAGAATTTGATGTCACGCTCCGGTCGGACAGGAACTGTCGGATCTTCCCTCGGAAAATATATTTCACCAAAACTCGCCTAAATTTCAGACCACCTGTAGAATAAACCCCTCGTTTCCAAAGATATGATCCTATTAGTTTCACTGTTTTATTTTTACAAAAATCAAGCAGAGAGAACGTACAATAATGAAAAGTTTTAACATAGATAATTGTATTTTATATATTCTCTCTAATATAAAAATTTGAAATTTTTATATTATACAGAGTGTTTCTAAATAAGTGCGAAAAATTCGAGGAAATGATTCTTTGTCGAAAATTAAAAAAGATGTTTCATGTATAAACATATATTCCTTCCTATAATCTTTCCCTAAAGAGTTATATTCCTTCAAAGGAAAAGATAAAAATTAATTTTTTTCTTAAAATAATTTAAATGAGTTAAATGAAATTTAGTGACATTTTTCACTAGTAAAAAGAATATTTATTAATATTTTTTTAATATTTCCGTATCGTTATAAAGGGATAGAATTAACAATCTCTATTCAATTTTCTTATTAGAACTTTTTAATTGACTGGAATGTGACCACCTAACAGTATGCGTTAGAAAGCTTGATTCTATTAAAAGAATCTTTTTTTATTCCTTTTATGTCATTTTTTTACGTAAAATCAAGAGTTTTCAATAAAAGAAAAAATAAAAACCTAATTTCCACTCCCCTCTTTGATAAAGTGTAATTTTTCAAAAAGAATATGTTATACGTTTATATGAAAAATCTCTCTTAACTTTCCACAAAGAATCATCTAAAATTTTTTGCACATATTTAGAAACATCCTATTATAATAACATATATTCTGCATATATATATTTTGTAACATTCTATAATAAGTTTAATATTTTTTAATCAAAACTCATTGTTTAAAATCATTAAGAGACCAGTGAATTAGCAATCTGAAATAAAATATTTTCCTACATTAGCATATTAATCAGCGAGACAAATTGATTTTGCCTCGCACCCTCCTATTGTCATCCATCCAAGAGAGATTCTCGGTCGCAGATATCATTTCTCCTAAAAGTACACGAACCGATTGCTCGCATACCTCGTTCAATCTCGCGAAACAAACTCCTGTAGAATGGAACGTGTGAACCACGGATTATGCACGCGCGAGAGTTCACCGAAGGGATAGATAGAGGGAATAGTGGCAAGGAGCGATGGGATCGCGTTAACGATGTTACGCAGAGAGGATAGTTGGGCGCGCTCTGAAATTACAGATCAAGGGGTTTCTAAACAATTACGCTGTCGACGGGAGGTCAAGCCTGGAGTAGCGTGACGTTAGAGGCTACGGCTTGTAGGAACCGAGGCTTGCGGCCTGCGGCCGGTTGCGGACGAGGGTCGAGGCTAAGTACTCCCTCTCTCTCTCCCACTCGCAGGCGGCCAATGGGTTACGTAGACTCCAGCGGCGAGAGTGGAGAAGTGCGGCACTCTCGCGCGCGCACTCCTTCTCTCTCTCGGGATATTCCTCCTCGGGGAAATACCGGCGCCGCTCCATTGTGCCCCTGGGCAAAGCAGCGCGGACATAGATGCAGGGTATATAGCGGATTGGCGGGCACCTCGCCCGCACTCCCTGCTACCATTACATCGAACGCAGCCACCGCAACGCGGAAAGTTCGCCTTTGAATCGCCGCCGGGATTGACAGTGATTTTAACTGACGTGGTTGAGCCGCGATTATCGCGCCGCCGGCTGATTGGCGGTCAGAAACATCCCTCGAGCCCTCGTGGGACCAACATTGCTTTACGTCGAGAGGAAGAGATGGAGGTGGAGAGATAAAGATAAAGAGAGAGGGAGAAACCACGATCTCCCTTAGGCATCGCTGGATGTGAAGCAGAAGGTCATCGCTGACGGGCCTGTTGGAAAATCGTGGATTCTCTTTGATCGCATCCTCAATTGCTTACGTATTGCTTATGCAATGCTCGTTAATTCGAACGGCTTGATCTCTAAAGAGTATCGTTGTAGCTATAAGGACGGGACTTTCGTACATAATACATCTGACGCGCGGCAGCGGTGTATTTACTTAACTGCGTGTAAATGGTTTGTGTGGTTTTACTACAAACGGAGGATATCCATTGATAAAAGGAAATGTGAACTATATACATTAAAAATTTCTTACGAAAATCTAGGAATATTATATTATTAAGGATTTAAAAAATTGTAATGAAAATATTATCAATTTTTTTTTTTTTGACAGCACAATTTTGCAAATATCGAAAGCTTTAGTCTCTCTTTTTTTTTATACTTTTCCTTTGATTTGCGAAAATTATTTCCTGTTCGCGCGATATGTAGCGCAGTTCTCCGATTTGCTTCATTGGTCTAGCTCGTTGCGCGAGTTGTTCCACCGACGATGGATCGGAGTGAAGAGCATGAGTTCTCTTTGATGTCGCCGTGGTTGGTAGTTGCTTGCGCCATTGCTTATATAAAGCTTGTTAACACTGCCTTGCCTAACCAGAATCGCGTACCGTCAATTACACAGAAACAATTACAGCGAAAGCTAAAAGGAATATCTCATGCGAATATTGTCGACGAGAGAATGCGCGAGTTATGGAAATGGATATATGAATTTTAAAAGGAAAGCGTATCGTGTTTTTACGAGAGGGAAAAATGTCATTCCGTGCCCTAAACGTTTTTTTCGCAATTCTCAACATTTATTCCACTATTTAATCGATTCTTTTTCTTTCTCTCGTTAAGTGTCTCGATAGCGAGCCTATTAATAAAATATTTTTGCGCACTCTTTTTTAACTAAAAATTAAAGATTTTTTTAGCATAAAATCGGTAGATCCGCGCTTTGTTTCTATATGTAATTTAAAGGGATGCTGCCATTCTTCTGTTTTACCGACTTTAAGTTAGATTAAGTTCACATTTTATTGAATATACAAACTGAAAAATCGTTCACTATGAAAGTACTGATAATAATGAATGGAGAGCGCTGTCCGGCAACTAATTTTTGTTGCTTTATGCCTGGACTTCGATTCTGTACGCAAATATACATACATAATTAATTCAAGTACGAATCTTTTTGATACAGGTGTTTTAATCTCATTTTTATTACTTCTGTATTATTCATTCATGTCATTTTTATTGGGAGCGCCATATTTTGTGCACAAATAAATTGCAGAATTTTTGTATTAAATAAGTTTTGTTATGAGTT